TACGGAAAATTAACTAACGAACGGAGGCGTAACAATACGTTGCAACTCAGGACATGTGGATGACACGTGTTTACAGTTCATTACATGCCATTCTTTAAATAACAAATCAATAATAAACATATTGTACAATGTACAGGATTAAATTCAACGTCATGTGGCTGATTGTTGAGTTATGACATCATAGTTTCGTTTGACTTATTCTAACGGCTTAGGCTTAGGAAGAGAAGGTTGTTCATTAGACGGGTAGTAAGTAGTTAATATAATACAATATGATTTATGTATGATAGTGATAATTAATTATTTGCCAACAGACATCCGCATTTTAAATAAACATATAATACTAAATTATCAGCTCTAACCACAAAGGAACAACTGAAATAATAACTTAACCTTCGGTTGCACGCATTATGAAAATACGGTGGAAACATATTCTATCTCAGATTCTTACTTAAATAGGTCTATACTGTACAAAAAAGGTTTTTGTGAATGTAATTTGGAAAGTTATAAATTGGTACGTTACGTAGAAGTAACATAGTTCAGGGAGGAACCAACAAAAATAACTCCGTGGTTTATTTACACTGTTACCTGAAAATAAGACATTCAACAACAAAATTGAAGCATTTATGTGTGTATTAAGGAACAACGATGGGTTTGTTTGTTTGTTTGTTTTTGAATTTCGCGCAAAGCTACACGAGGGCTATCTGCGCAAGCCGTCCCTAATTTAGCAGTGTAAGACTAGAGGGAAGGCAGCTAGTCATCACCACCCACTCTTGGGCTACTCTTTTACCAACGAATAGTTGACCGTCACATTATAACGCCCCCACGGCTGAAAGGGCGAGCATGTTTGGTGTGACGGGGATTCGAACCCGCGACCCTCAGATTGCGAGTCGAGTGCCTTAACCACCTGGCCATGCCGGGCCCGATAGGTTTGTTACCTGTACCTTACAATGTTAAATAGAGGGTTAATGTTGATATTATTTTCCTGTCTGTCTGTTTGATGAGGTTTCAAGTGATGTATATAACAAGGTTTAAACTATTATGATCACTTTTCCACGCAGCACTTAGGCTTAGGACATTACTGTGTAAAACTAATAAATCAAAACCTAGTTTCTTAGTTTCTGGACTTACAACAACAACCTTAGAAAGGAATTAATATCGTGGTCATTACAGCAGTTTCATACTTTAGTGAATATTACAGAAACAATTATAGTATTTTGACACTTGTGTATAAAGTTAAAATCATAAATAATATTCAACGTTAAGCTGGTACACAATTAAAAACATTTTATTTAAGCCTATCTGTGGCCTTCAAAAGTTGACGACTCTACATGTTTCGACGTTACAACGTCATCCTCAGGAGTCAACTTTTTGAAGGCCATAGATAGGCCTAAATAAAATGTTTTTTAATTGTGTACCAGTTTAACGTTGAATATTATTCATGATTTTAACTACAGAAACAA